AAAGAGGAAGAAAATGTGATTACTTATAAGAGAGCGTTCCTAATTTCCATTAATAAATCCCAAATATGCTCTTATGCTCTTTTCCCGTGAACTCCACATCCATATCAACTTTTTGGACTGCAGCCTTTTTCATTCAGGAGACGTTTTTTTCTGTCGGTTTCATTTCTGAGTGCTTGTTACGAGGAAAATTAAAGAAAGCTTCATGGAGCGGAGCATGTCTGGCTCCGTTTATCTTCGATTGTCCGGGTGAGTGCTTCTTTCTTTGCGGTGGCACACACAACAATTACCTGAGAGGGAATGACTTTTTCTCTGTTTTTTTTGCTCGTAGAGCCCCTTTTAACTTGTCACAGAATGATTTCTCTGGGCTCCTGTCCACGGCAGATCCATTACTCTGCGTTAAATCTTTGTTTACCTGAGCTGCAACTGCAAAACAAAGTCCACTCAGAGACGCCGTTTTTCCTCGTCTCTGGTCTACAGTGGGGGAAATAGGTATTTGAGCCCTTGCTGATTTTGCAGGTTTGCCCACTTACAAAGAATGCAACGATCTATAACTTTAATCATATGTACATTCTAACAGTGAAAGACAGAATCCCAAAGAAAATTCCAGAAAATCACATCATATGAATTTATAAAAATTGATAACCATCTGATGAGGAAAAATAAGCATTCCTTGTAAGTGGGCAAACCTGCAAAATCAGCAAGGGGTCAAATACTTATTTCTCCCACTGTATCTGCTCACCATCTCTGTTGGTTTTTTCCACAATCGCAAAGGGGTTTTGGAACGTGGTTTTGTTTGTCGTGTCTTAAAATCCAGTCAAAACACCAGCTAAATGCACAGTATTTATTTATTGATTTATTTATCTATTTATTTATTTATTCATTCATTTATTGATTTAATCAGGACAGTGTTCATTAATGAACAATCTTATACTTCAGTACGGATTGTAGTCAGCAAAGATGCTAAAGAAAAACAAATGATTTCTGTTAAACTTTGTAAAACCGTAACTGGATGGAACAAAACGATCACCCAGAGTAGAGATGCTAGCTTTTTTTAAAAGTCTTGACTAAGTCTAAGTCTTGCGTTTTACTGAACTCTGACCA